TGCTGGTCTTGGGTACTGTGTACCAGTTGTATTGAGGGTTGCTGGTCTTGGGTACTGTGTACCAGTTGTATTGAGGGTTGCTGGTCTTGGGTACTGTGTACCAGTTGTACCCATTAACCGGTTAACCCGAACCGGTCCAATCCGAACCCACGTTGATTATGGTGATTACGGTAAGTTGTTTACGCCACCGATGATTAGACGAGTAGGATGATTGGATGAACACCGGTGAGTGATGGTTGATTAGATGCACTAGGTGATAGGACGCAGGGTCGCGTGTCTATAACAGTAGGGTGTAAGCTCCAACAATTCAATCACTTTCGAATCTTCATTCTACCCCTCAAGTGCCTTTGCTCCGGTCCCGCCGTCTGCGACGTCCCTCCCTCCGCTTCGTCCGAGCTTCGTGTCCAAGATCCATACCTTCCATCAGGTTATGAGCCCAAGCACCATGTCCTCTGCCCAAGACGCCTCGACCAAGGTCTCCATTGACAAGTTCAACGGGGACAACTACGCGACGTGGAACCGCTACATGCGTGGCGTGTTCCTGACCAAGTCGACGTGGCATGTCGTGAACCGCGAGACGACGCCGAGCTTCACGGACTCGCGGGCCAAGGACGACTACGTCAAGTCGAGCAACATCGCGTTCGGACTGATGTTGCTCCACATGGACGCGGACTACCACCATGTGGTCGACGACTGCGAGGAAGCGTGGGTTGCGTGGACGCGCCTGAAGACGCTGTACGGTGGTTCGCAGAAGGCTGGACGCATCTACCTGAAGCGCCAACTCTTCAGCATGGAGATGTCGGAAGGCGGCAACGTCTTGCATCATTGCAACGAGGTCCTCAACATCAGCGCCAAGCTCAGCAGCATCGGCGCCAAGATGGAGGATGAGGACGTGGCGATCTGCCTGTTGCGCAGCCTCCCCAAGAGCTACGAGAACGTCGTGCTGAACTAGGAGATGAGCAGCGCTGAACTACGATTGCAAGACGTCGTGAAGGTGCTGACGAATGAGCACATCAAGAGACAAGGCGAGAAGACGGCGACGGTGAAGACGGAGAATGCGGCCAAGGCGTTCAACACCGACCGAGAGTCTCGCCAGTGTACGTACTGCGGGAAATTGGGGCACACGATTGACAAGTGCTGGACCAAGCAGAAGGACGAGAATCGGGGCCCAAGACGCGGCGGCAATGGCAATGGCCGTGGACGCGGGGCCAACAATGCCCAGTGGAGGAACGACGACGCCAGCTACAACTACGACTACGGCTATGATCGAGTGGCGTTCGCGGTCTCACTGGAGTGTGGCATTTCGACGGGCAAGAATGTGTCCGGGTTGTGGGCGGTCGACAGCGGCGCAACGCACCACATCTGCAACGACAAGGCCAAGTTCGCTCATTTGATTGAGCGGAATGAAGGCGAACTTTCGGTGGCCGACGGCAACAAGGCGGCCATCATGGGTGTGGGGACCATCGTGGAACGAGTGGTTCTGCCCAACGGCGACGAGCGCGACATCGAGATCAAGAACGCGCTGTACGTCCCAAGCATGAGCAAGAATCTGCTTTCGGTGCCACAGATCAACAAGAGTGGTCTGTTCCAAGTCGTGTTCGACAGCACCAAGATGCAGATTGCGCACAAGGGCTCCAAGCAAGTGGTGGCGACGGCAAACCTCGTGGATGGACTCTACTGGCTCCAGACGCCTCAGCGATCGGCGAATGCGGCGACCAGTGGGAAGACGGTCGACTTACACGCGCGTATGGGTCACGCTCCGGTGGAGGTGCTTCGCAAGATGGTCGACAACAACATGATCAAGGACGCGAAGGCACCTTCCAAGTCGAGTGGACCAAACGTGTGTCGCGGCTGCCAGCAAGGGAAAATGGTCCAGAAGCCGTTCCCAAGCAACCGTGACAAGCGTCACTACGACACGTTCGAGCTGCTCCACTTCGACGTGTGCGGCCCCATGGAAGAAGAGTCACTGGGTGGCAGCAAGTATCTGCTGCTGATCGTGGACGAAGCCAGCGGATGTATGAAGGGGTTCTGCCTGCGTGCCAAGTCGGAGAGCGAGGACTGCATCAAGATGTACGTCACGAAGGTGCAGACGCAGTTCAGCAAGAAGGTCAAGTTCGTGCGGCACGACGGGGAGTGTTGTCAAGACTGATGTGACGACGCCTCGCCAAGCACCGTGTGACGCGAACGCGTCATCAGTGAGATCGGCGTGACCTTCACTGTGTTGTACCGCAATCATTCAGGTGATTACGGGACGATGATTACGTCACGGTGATTACGCCAAGATTGTGGGTACAAGATGGGCATCGACGTGGCGTTCTCTGATTGGATAAGGTAACTGTGTATCCAGTAGAGAATCCAGTAGGGTGTACCCAGTAAGAGGTATCCAGTAGCAGGCTTAGAGGTAGCACGCGGTTGCGAACTAAGGACCTGAATCGAATCACTTTGCATTTTGCCAACTACTGCTCAAGTGTTCTTCCTTTTATCCGTCGCTTCAAGGCGCTCCGGTTCCCAGTGTCGACACCATTCAGGTCCAAGGTAGCAGAAAACGATTTCGGGTTAGAGGGACGAAGCTAAACACTTCAATGATGGCGCGAATACCAGAAGACTGATGAATATTACGGCAGGCTGAGCGTCGAACAGTACGAAGCTCTCGAGCGCTCGATGCTGTATACGGGATTGCAGGCAAATCATGGCTCTTTCGGGTGTGGGAAATCGTTTCTGATCTCAGCTATAACGCTGTGTGCTCTCGATGTTCTAGACAGCCGAGCTATCATTGCTGCAGAAACGAACACAGCTATTGACGAAGATCTCGAACGTCTGGTCAGAGAACCCGATTGGGAAAAGAATGAAGAGGGGTTCTCGCCGATCCTTCGCATCGGTACGAAAGAGTCGATGAATGAAAAATTGTGGCGCTACAGTTTGGACAACATCTGCGAAAAAAAGGCAAGCCGAGAGGTGCTAAGGACAGTCTCCTTCATGCGCCTATTCTGGCTCTGCCAGACCCCGCTCGTCCGTTTAGTGTCGTCTGTGACGCCTCGGACTTTATCATCGGCTGTGCACTGCTGCAAGCAGACGCCGAGGGGCGCGAGCGCGTGGTGGCGTTCGAATCTCGCCAGCTAAAGCCTGCGGAGAAGAACTATCCTGTCCATGACAAAGTGCTACTTGCGATGAAGTATGCGCTCGTCAAGTTCAGGGTGCACCTGTTGGGCTCTCTGCCGTTCGTGTTTTACACGGATCATGCGTCGTTACGCACTGCGACTCAGGCGCCTCATCTCTCGCAAAGGATGGCCCGGTGGCTGTCCTTCTTCGCGGAGTACAACTTCGAGGTGAAGTACAAGCCTGGCAGGCAGAATGTCCTTGCGGACGCGCTGTCGCGCAGGCCGGATTATGAGCTGGCTCATGTAACGACCATGACTTCGTCATTACCGGATTTGATCCGAACGGCTTATGCCAAGGACGACACCTGTGTCGCGTTGCTGAAGGCTCTGGGGAGCAAGGAGTTTCAAGACTCGGACATGGAATTGTCAGCGCGGCTGCGCGCTCCGCTACACCGTTATTCCCTCGATGGTGGCCTGTTGTTCTACAACACTGGCCCCGAGGATACGCCCCGCGTGGTCATCCCTCACGATGAGGATCTGAAGTACCGCATCCTCTATGAGGCACACGACACGCCGCTGGCCGGCCATCTTGGCCGTGAGAAGACCTACAGCTCGGTGAGCACCCACTACTGGTGGCCGAAGCTGTACAAGTGAACGAGCACTTATGTGCGCACGTGCGAGACGTGTCAGAGAGTGAAGTCGTCACCTCATGCCGCAGCGCCGTTGGCGAGTTTGCCTGTCCCTTCGAGCTGCTGGCAATCCATGAGTATGGACTTTGTGTTTGGCCTGCCGGTGGACGCGGCGGGCAATACAGGAGTCGTGGTCTTCGTGGACCGACTGAGCAAGATGGCTCACATTGCGGCTGTGCCGGACACCATCGATGGTAAAGGTACAGCAACGCTGTTCTTGGACCGAGTGTTTCGACAACACGGACTCCCTGAGTCGATTGTTTCGGACCGAGACCCCCGCTTCACGGGCAACTTCTGGAGCGCGATCTTTGCGGTGCTTGGCACCAAGCTGGACATGTCCACGGCGGACCATCCGCAGACCGATGGTCAGACAGAACGCGTGAATCGCGTCGTCGAGGACGTCCTCCGCAGCATTTGCGCCGAGACGCCGAAGCGCTGGAGCGCCATGCTGCCACTCGTTGAGTTTGCGTTGAACAACGCCGTGCACGCCGCGACAGGCTACACGCCGTTCTACGTTTATCTCATCCCCGCGTCCCGCTGACGCCGCCACGTGGTGGCCTCGGGCTTGGTGGGGGAGGAGAAGCCGATTTAGGTGATCGGCTAGCCGATGTCAGCCTGGCTACTGTTCGTAAACAGGTTGACGCTTTCTTGTCGACGCGTCTGAGTATCTTACGACATGTGCGTGACGTAATAGCTGAGAGCCAAGTCAAGCAAAAGGAACATGCAGATGCCAGGGGCAGAGGCAATGTTGAAAGTTACGAGGTCGGGGGCCTGGTGTTGCTTAATGCTAAAAACCTACCTACACATGCAGTGTCAGCCGTCTTCAAGACGAAGTTGCGCCCGCGCTTCGTCGGACCTTACAAGGTTGTGGCCAAGAAGGGCCTTGCGTACACGCCCAATCTTCCGAAGAAGATGCGGACGCACCCCGTCTTCTACGTGGGCTTGCTCAAGCTGTACCAGGACCCGATGCAGGTGCAGATGGAGGCACCGAGGGTGACGAGGTCACAGGCGCGGAGGTCGCGGTCGTCGAGGACGCAGTCGCCGGCGTCGAAGACGCGACCATCAACGCGGGCTCCGCAGACACAGGCGGGAGTGCCGCGGGTACCGCAGGAGCCGCAAGCGCAGGAGGCGCAGCAGGCGAGGCCTACATGCGGGCCAGGAGTTTGAGCTGACCCTGGAGCACAGCCAGGTGCCGCTGTGGCTCCGCGAACTCTCAGGCGTGTCGCTGTTCGCGATCGCGAAAGTAGTTCACCCACCCGTTCAGGTGAACGAAGTCGTTCTCCAAGGTCCCAAGTCGGTCCCAGACCTCCTGAGGCACCCCAAGCCACTCCAGCCGCTCAGCGAGCCTGGCGAGATCAGTCGCACAACGTGCCAGACGCGCGTCGATGTCGTGGACGTGGTTCCGAAGGCGATCCGCCTGTTGCCGAGTCTCGTGCAACTCGTCCAACGTCGCGAGGCGGGTTGGCGCGTCCTCCACCGGCGCTGCTCGATGAGCATGGGAATCGGCATTACCATGTGGAGCGCCTCCTGGCGAAGCGGCGGTGCCGGGGTCAAACCAGTATCTGGTGAAATGGCGAGGGTACCCTCACTCCGAGAACTCATGGGAGTTTGAGGTACCCCTCCGCCAGGATTGCCCAGACGTCGTGGACGCTTTTGATCAGCTTGATCACCAGCGCCCCGAGGGCTTAAGGCCGGCACGCCGGCCGTCCCGCGCTTCCTGGTAATAAGCTGGGGAGCAGCTGAGTCAGCCACATTGCTCCGAGGCTGACCCTGAGCCACAGCGCTCACTCCCTCGCGGGAAGGAGCGGCTGGAGTGCTCGAAGTAGCGAACCGTGCAGCGCTAAATTGGGTCTGCGGCTGGGTGATTGCCCCAAGGCTGCGCTTGGCTCGGACCTTCGCAAAGTCGAAGCGGAGCTTGCGTTCAATTCGAACATCCACTTGCTCGGAGAGCATCCATGGAGCTGAGCTTCCGGCTGTGCTCGGCCCAAGACTCGAACTGAGCTTCGTACTCAATTGAGTCTTCCCCCGGGCGAAGTACCATCGGGTACGTCCGCATGGCGGGCACGGACTTCTGCTGGGCTTGCAGCCGCAACCTCTCGCGATACTCCGCGACAGTCGTAGACTGTGGAGTGAGGAGTCGCTCTCGCAGAGACGTACGCAGTGCGAGCTCCTCCGGAGTACGGGCTGCGGGCCCAATGGCGTGCAGCGCGAGAGACTGCTGGAACGCCTGGCGACAAGCCTCCGCGGGGTCGCGAGGCCGGAAGCCGTAGTCGGCAGTGCTGGGGTTCAGCAGAGGCCGCCGCTCTGGGCGCTGGGAGCGCATGGGAGCGCATGGGAGCCATCTGCGCCGCAACCTCCTCGGACTGAGCTTCGTCCAAAGGGTTGGAGATGACGGGGCCCAGGGGCACGTCTTCCGCACGGAGCGACGAGTACCGTGGCTCAGTGAGCTCGCGCAGCTCTGAGAGCCCGAAGGAGCGCTGGGGAAACGGATTGGGAGTCCGCAGCGGCTACCGCGGCTCCTCCCTCGGTGGCGCAGCGCGCGAAGTGGTGAGACGGCTCGGAGCGCGCGCAGGAGACGTGCGCGCAGGGCGCTCTTGATCGCGATGACTCGGAGAGTTAACTGGAGCCGGCGAGCCCTCTTCACGGCGCGTCGACGGTGTGTTTGAAGCGTCGCCGCGGCTCGGGGAGCGTCGCGTGGGTGGATACCCATCTCCTTGGTTCGGAGAATCCTCCATGTACTAGTCCACCCCGCCCTCTTCGCCGAAGAGTTCCCTAGGATCCATGATCGGACGGGTTGGTGCTCGAGGAGAGCTGGGGCTTGCGCGCTGCCATCGGTGCTTCAGGCGGTGCGCCGCGAAGTACTCGGACACTGAGAGCCTGGAGTGTGTGCGCGGGCGCTGGCGTTCGCCAAGGTGCATAGGCACGCAGTGCAGCAGCACGAGAGGAGCGAGGCTCCGAGGTGGATCTCGCGAGAGGCTGTCTGCGGTCGAAAGACGAAAAGGCTTTATGACTTGAAGTCATGTGAGGGGCGTTGCGCCGAGAAGTTCTCAGAGAAGTCCACGCGATGTGGATTGACTCGTTCGAGAAGGAGGCTTGACGGAACAAGACCCGGTGGTTGACTGTTAAGCGTGAACACCCGTGTCCACGGTTTGATGGGGGAGG